AGGGATCAAAACACCAGGTATCCAATATGGTCTCTCTTTACCCCTTGCCCTTATCCTAAGAAGTGACACTTACAATGAAGGGGCTGCAGTAGAAAGAGTTTCTCTCAGTCACCAGGTCTGTGAGGAGATTCCTGCTCTCCTCCCCTTCATACTCCAGAGTCACATTCAGTGTCACACTCTCATTTATGTGATTAAGGAAGACACAGGCCTTTGCAGGAACTCCAGTGTAGAGCTCTGATGGGACCAGCACCATGTATTGCCTGTGGAGAAGAGCAGTCTGTATCAATCATGGTGGGATTAAAAAAACATCATTGTTGTCGCTGTTTTGTAGACAATCCTTGCTATTGTCACCTATTAGAGAACAGAGCCAGATTACAGTAGAAGAGTATGCTTCAAAGCTCAACTCTCATGACCTGGGGAACTCAGAAAACCCCAAATTAAACATTAGCATGCTTCTCTTGTGAAAATATTTACCTTCATAATATCAGTAAACCTGTTAATAGTCATGGGTAAGCAATCTGAGAGTTATTCTATATTTTGGATAGACATCTCAAATTTACAAAATGTGAATTAATCAAAAAGTTATCATCAAAAGCATTGAGAACATGTCTGCATCCCCGCTTTCATATGGATGATACTACAAATCTTTTTGTTCCAGTAAACACTAGAAAAATAGCATTTAATACACAGGGAGGAGCTTTTCACTATAGCTCTGGAAGCAATCTTATCTTTTCTTGTTTAACTCTCTGGTGATGGACGACAAGGCTAGACTAATTACCAGATATATTACCACATTCACTCACGTGCACCACATCCACTCTCCCGCCACTGCTTGGCATTCACTTACAATCACCCAAGTAGGCTGCACTTTGTGATGCCGTGTGTTGGCACTCACTTCCCTCTCTTCCTCAGTGTCCTTGTCTACCTGAAAAACTTCCATTTGCCTTATGAAGCTTAACTCAAAAGCCACTTTCTCTATGCATAATTTGGTCATGCCTGCTCCGTTACCCTGGGTTTGGGTTTTCTTTGCAAGTACTCGTTTTTTTTTTGGAGTTTTTTGGCCGGGGCTGGGTTTGAACCTGCCACCTCTAGCATATGGGGCTGGTGCCCTACTCCTTTGAGCCACAGGCATTGCCCTTCTTTGCAAGTATTCTTACAGATTCCTGAAATGTCTGCTTCTACTATCGCATTATATTTCATTCTCTGTGTACCATTTCTCTCCTTTTTCTGTACTGTGAGATAATGAGGGCAGGCTCTGAAATTTGTTAATCTTTATATTCCCAAGACCTAATGCTAGCTTCTAAACATTTACTGAGAGACTGAATGAACTGACACACAAATCTTGGCAATCCCCGACTTGGGGAATACACAGACACAGAGACATTTTACAATGGCCAAGATGCTGACGGCCATTTTAGGAACTGATAAAATATTTTTCTTTTTTTTGGGTGGGAATTCTATATTCTTATTTAGTAAATGTTTCACAAAGTTTACTTCCCCCCATCTTTGAGTTTTTTAGAATTGGAATATATCTCTTTCCACGTGAGCAACAATAACCGGCTGACCCTTCAACAATAAAAAATTAAAATGTGAGAGAAACCAGGAAATAATGATCAAGGAGATAACAGTAGGAAAGAAGAAGAAAGGTAGAATTTCCTGGAAATATTGCTTACGGTTCTGCAGCAGCTGAAGCATCACTGGGAAGGAGCAGAAAAAGTAGAATCAAGACCGGTTTGGGCAGTTGCTTTTCCCTCATGGTGTAGAGAGGGATGGGAAAGAATGGGAGTTGGAACTCTCGATTCCTTGAACTCTGTGCTTGTTCCAGACTTATTGGTTTTTATTTCACCTGATGGGCAGCAAAAGCAAACTGCCAACCGTTTATTTTTGTAACATATTAACTACTTCCAGCATAAAAAAATCAATTCCAGATCAATTCCATAAACATCAGTATTCTTTCATTCACTTTCCCAAATTTTCCAAATGCTTAAAAATAGTACTTGGAGGGTATCATTGGCTCAGTTTATTAATCAGTACTTTATTTTTAAGAAAAAACACAACAAATT